AGGGTGTTCAAAAAATAGATGGAGATATTTCAGAGCTCGTTAAAAAATATGAAAAGAAAATTCTATAAACATGAGTCCGGAAATGCGGAGCTTTCAATATACAGGGTGATGAGTTATACGAAGGTTAAATAATTTTGTTAGCGGCATAATTATAAAATTGTTGATCGGCTTAATAATTTTTTTGTGTTTTGTTTTTTTTTTTTGATTGTTTTAAATGTAAAACATATCATTGTAATAGTTCTCCGCACCACTGGAATATTGTTCTTGGCAATATTCCGTATTGTGCTATGACTATTGCTCGCATTGTTTAAGTATTCGTCACTTGCTTTCCTTTTAGCATTTTGAATCTCGTACCTGCCACTGTTTTTGTCGTCACGCCCATTTTTATTTACGGTTACAACTCAGAATTCTAACGATACCGATGAATAGATTCTGTCGCAGCTTTTGTAAGAAGAAAATATCCATTCCTTGGAGTAAGAGTGCTCTGTTGCGCGAGAGTTGAGAATTGTCACGATATTAACGGGCCACCGTTGCACCGCCTGTTCCGTAATACAAACTCAATTTGTAAACAACAGCGCCACTTGAAAGCCCGTTAGCGAAGAAGCTTCCGCTATTAAAACGTCCCGATTCTTAGTGTTTTATTTCCCGTTTGTGGCCGCGTGACATCTTTCGCGCTCCCAAGCACGTTTTTACGGCCAACTTTCGTATCTCTTGAGAGGAGGAATTACCAATGGGGTTGCAGCTTTGCACTTCCCACGCGCCAACAATGAGGTGGTAATTTTTGCTTCCTACGCAAGGGTTATAACAGTATTGTGAGAAGGAGACTCGCTGCACCAATTTAAACCACTCAGTTGAATCGTTGAAGTACAAGTCGAACCAGGCACTCTCCTCCAGGTAATAATAGTATGATAATAACAACTTTTATTCAAATTGTTTCGCGGATATGAAACGTCAACAGGGAAGGTTCAGATTTATATAAGCAAAAGAAAAATGTACGTGACTAACTTAGAATAAAATAGATGATAAGTTATAAAATTAGTAGCAAATACAGTACGTTTGTATAGAAGGACAAATAGTCATATAGAAGGATATAGAAAGTATGCACCATAGATGTATAGTAAGTAAAATAACCAATAAAATAAATAAATATGTAATTAATAATTATTAAAAATTATAAAGCTCTTGCAAAGAGCAAAAACGCTCAGAGTACAAGTATGTTAAATATTGTTTCTTGGAGACTTTTAAGTCGTTGATGGCTTTTACCTCGGAGGGCAAATTATTAATATAGTATATTACGAAATGTGCTGACGTTATATTTGTTCAATGTAAGGTTGTCATTATTCATTAGATTGTATCTCTGGGACTCTTATTTAAGTAAGCTTGGAAAGATATGATTTCACATGAAGGCCCGTCTATAGGAGGTGTAAGGACGCTAAAGCATTTTTTCATCACTAAATATTCTTCGACAAGACTCTAGACCTCAAGAAGATGCAATCACAATAAGAGTCTGACTATTAAAAACTCGTTGGACTTGGTCAACTAAATCGTTCACAAATAATAAAAACAGAAAAGATGATAGCACTCCACCATGAGGTACTTCAAAGCTTGTGCTATGTGGATTAGAGATCGGGCTACCTAGCCTAACCTGAATTTTTTGTTCAACATAAGCGACAGAATCCATTGATCTACGGGATTTCTGAAACCACGGCGTTTAATATTATCTACGGGCATGTTAGCTTGAACGCAGTCAAATGCTTTCGGTAGATCAAAAAATATTGTAATTGTGTAATAATTATGTCCCGTCCTTGTCGAAGTAAATATTTATAATGCATAACGTAGTACCCTCGTAGCGTACAAAACTTACGAGTTCAAAGCATGCATGTAGCGAAAGGAGCAACCTACCGTACCTGTCTGTCCCCTTCTCGGGTAATCAATTCTCAGTCCTTGTTCTCGTGTCAAACGGATAGCACGTCAAGCGATTTTACGTTTTCAGCAGTGTCGAGGCGCGTAAACGTAAGAAATTGCATGGTCGGCGAGACGGATGGACGGTCGCCTTCAAAGTTCCTTTCGTCGCGGAGCAAAATTACAAAGTGCAAGTTAGATTATTATTAGTAGGGATGTTTCACCGACGTTGCAGACTGTGCCTGACACGACGTTTGGGATAACGTTCTGACACTGTTGCTTCGGATGGTAACATGGGCGTAGCTTGTGATAGCCAGCTCCATTCCAAGGAGGAACAAAGACGTTTGGGATACTGCTGAAACATTGGACTCGATTGCTTGGGATAGCAACGTGAATCTGGATTGGGATAGTCAGCTCCACACCAAGGACGAACGAAGACGTTTGGGATAACGTGGAAGCATTGGACTCGGTTGAATGAGATAGCAACGTAGACCTGGCTTAGGCTAGTTAACCCCACACCAAGGACAAACGAAGACGTTTGGGATAACGTGGAAGCATTGGACTCGGTTGCATGAGATAGCAAGGTGGACCTGGCTTGGACGAACGAAGACATCTGGGGTAACATTATAATATTGGACTCCGTTGGTTGAGATAACAACATGGAGCTAGCTTGTGATATTCAACTTCACACCAAGGACAAATGAAGACGTTTGGGGTAACGACTAAACACTGAACTCCGTTGCTTGTGATGGTGACTGGTACTTAGCTTGAGATAGCTAAGATCCTACGGCAAATAACAACACTGAAAACGTTTGGGACCACGTAGCAACAAAGTACGGTCAACGATCTCTTCTCATTAGCTTGTGATAATAAATTCTACCTTTTTTGCGATAACCATGGAATGCATTCTGTTATTAAAATATTCTTGTTTCATTTATTTCAGTTTGTTGTTACACTCCCCAATGAGCGCTAGATGGGTACTAACAAAGATCACTCATCTATGATCATGGAGGTGGAAACCTTGCCTTGGAATGTATGAGATGCGGTGTTGCCAAGCGACCAATGACGCAATGTTGCAGAATTTGTGGTGATCTTGACCTTTCATCTCGACCTAAAATGTAGCGCCGTTAGGACAGATCAGAAATCGATCCTGAACAGATTCGACACAATTCACAATTCAAGAATGTAAACGCTCAAAATAAAACCGTTTTTTGTCGTATAAAATAGACTAATGCATATTTTGGACGTACATCTTAATTCAACGCGGCACAACAAGGTGATTAGTTCTATTTCTATCTAACATATGTGTCTATACATTTTTTCCTTCAACATTTTTGTGGTAAAATTAAAGTAACAAAGTTATAGCCATTTAGAAGTTTGAGTACTGCCCTGTATCAATAATAATATTATGTGCTCGTGTTTGGCAACAACGGATATACTCCGCCTTATCGGTTCATCGCATCGGAAACAAAAAAGCGAAAAAATTTGAAACGCTGATCACGATGTTTTTATTCAGTCAATGTGTCAGTCGGTAACGCGTGAGTGAATAGTGGTGTTTGCTGCGTGGCTCAAACAAAATAAAAAATGGCACATATTTATGCGGATCGGTTTCCCAAACGAGTGCAACCAACCCCTCGTGCCTTTGTTAATGTAGTACAACGGGCTCGTGAATCAGGTGACTTAAGACCTCACAGGGGAGGGCATGCCGGTGCTCCAAGACCTCACGCTCAAATACAGGTCCGCACTGAAATACTTGTCGGGAGGATACTTTATAAAACAAGGTAAACATTTTTTTTCATTTTTTTTATTTTTACACACATATTTTGGTTTATCTTCCTTCTACAATCATTATCTGAAAATTAATGACTCAACTTCAAAGTCTATATATACACTTCCCTCTCGTACACATTAAACTTAGGCCGTCAGATAAATTTCGTTCTCAGTGTATGAAATATGACGTAAACAATCTCGTACGTCTTCAACACCACATCATGAATAATTTTCAAGCCATTAAATCATACATCTTTGTATGTATTACGCTTTGACTATCGTAGGTCGTGCATATATCAACTGCTCGCATCCAACGGCATACAACTTTCAAACAGCGCAATTTTTGTATGGAAACTATCCATTTATGCAACAGTGGTTCTTTCGGTGCGGTGGCCAAGCATAAATTGAGGAATGTCCCACATGAACTTCTCTGACACAAACTTCCGCTAACAAATCAAAACAATAACTCTGTGTTTGCACGAAGTTACGGCATTAAAGTGGTAACGAATTGTGTGATGTAAGCCTAGGGACTTCCCAGCTAGCAAATATATTTTATAATTTTCTACTGTCCGTGCTATTTTATTTTATAATTGCTTTTTTACTGCTCTTAGGGTGGGTTTCACCAAGGTTGTCAAATCAACAGTCCGTTATTCTCCATCTATAGGGTAACAGTCTGCCAAATACAGCGAATGAGCTTCAAGTTCCAATCAACAAATTTTAGCAACCAATAACTATGAAATGTTGGAAACAAAATACTGTCAAACTATGAGACGACATCTTGTCATTGAAACATCATCAGCTTATTGAATATTAAGAAATTACATATAATTCAGTCATAATTTAAATAAATGTTTGATTTTTGAATTAAATTCATGTTTTAATTACTAATGTTGATTTTTTATTCATGTTTATATTATCTTCTTCAATTGATATGCGATTTTACTGATTCAACGTCACCTACTGCAGATAGCCATTAAGCACCTACTTGATGACAGGCTCTACCAAAAAGTTCATAGATATTGCTCGTTTCCAAAACATTCATTCATTTACTTGCCGTTCATCAGAACCATTATGGCACCTTAGATTGATGTTCCCACAAAACCATTCAGGTCTTTTGGTCTCCATCCATACATTCATAAAGTTGAATATTTTTCGTTGTTCAAAAACTGAACAAACATCCACACTATATTCACAGAGATTAAGAAATTCCCAAATATATGTCTTAGAGCTACCAGCAAACCTGAAACCTGCAAAAAAACTACAAATTTGCCATTTTTTTCTTTTTTCACGAGTACACATTCTAGGATATATTTATGTTAGACATTATTTGAATACAGCTGATTGAGTGACACATGTGTGGGATCTGTCAACCCTTGGTCCCAGTCAAAACATTTATACTCTGAAGAAGGTTTAATTCCATGCTATTCCATGACAACACGGTGACTTGTGTGGTTGTCAACGGCCATTTTTTGAGGGTGCGATTTTTTTGGTATATCTTTTTAATAAAACTGGTGGTGTATTCTACTTTTTAAAAGGTTTATTACATATGATGTACATGTTACTGGAAATCCTACTTACAAAAACAGCCTGAAAGGCAGCAGCGGTGACCGCAATAGTAGACACTTCGTTCTCCTAATCAGTCGCCGTGCGCTGTGCGGGTTTGAATCCCGTCCCAGGAGAAATTTTTCTCGTGGCTATGGATGTTGTGATTATCCTTAGGTGGTAGATGGTCTCTGACTGTCGAACGCGGAGGTACCACCCGGCGGATCTCGTAGGCGGAGCCAGAATGTGTGCATGTTGCATGCACACGTGTTCCCTCGCCAGAGTCCGTGTGGCGTCCCCTCCTTTCCCATGCATCCCCCTATAGCCCCACGGTACCCAATGGGTGCTTAGGTCTTAGGCCTTCGTGGTAGTTGGAGCATATATAAAAAAAAATGTACCTCAAAATTTCGTATAAGTATAAATCAAAAACCGTTTTTTACTTCCCTAGCCTATAACAAAACACAAACTAACTACTAAATTGAAATAAAATAAGACAAGAAAATTTGTGCACTGGGTAATAGATGTAATTTTGCTCATTATTCTTGAAGCTTTAGGCAGCTTCATCAACATCAGATAGCTCGATTTTCTTGCAATTCTTATAGTTCAGACGAAGTTTGGCCAGTTTTGCATTAGTTCTTTTTAATATCATGTTGTACATTTCCGCAGAGAAGAGCGCATCAAAATAGGATAAGGGACTATTTGAGTTTTTAACATGAGAGCGTACTAATGGAAGAATAACGATCTTATGAGCAGGTGTGCAAACGTTCCTGGAAGGTTCTTTCTTACTTCACTTGAATCCACTACGGCCATAAAAATAGCCAGCTTTTTCTGTATCAGCCTCTTCCTCCCCCTCCTCCATGGTCGTTTCTTCGTTTTCCTCATCGATTGCCTGCTCGCTATCGGTTCAATGATCGCTGATATTGGCTCTCCATCCTGTGATTTATCACTACTAAAGTCACTATTCGCCGCATTGTACAATTGTCTACACATTTCTTCAAAATCGGGATCCATTGGTTTCACCGTACTACCTGGCATCGCCATCAAAAAGTCACACTAATGATGACACGGAGTCTATCGGACTCTGACGTAAATATCTTGTGAATGAAAATTCGTAGCGCGCTAATCTTTTCATTATCTATCATCTGCCATTATACAGGGTTTGTCCGGAAGGTAATAGGACTGAGTTGATTTAAAAAAAATTATTGAGCCAATCGTTACAATTCTTTAAAAACTTTCAAAGTAGGCTCCTTCTGCGTCAATGCAGCGCTGCCAGCGCGATTTACCAAGCATTGAAGGCGTCACGGAAGGCATTCTGCGGAATAGCCTTGAGAGCCGCGGTGCATGCTGCTTGAATCCCTTCTGTCGTCTCAAAATGCTTGCCTTTTCAGGCGAGGAAACAAAAAAAGTCCGGGGGGGGCACATCTGCGGTCTAGGGCGGCTGCGGAAGCGTTGTGATGCCGGCCTTGGTCAGGTAGTTGTTCACAAGAAAGGCGGTGTGAGCCGGGGCGTTGTCATGGTGCAACTTCCAGTTGGCTGCGATGTCTTGTCGGATCCGACTGACCCTGCGTTTGAGTCTCCTGAGCACTTCCACGTAAAACTTGGCGTTGACGGTTTGTCCAGGAGGAACAAATTCATGGTGGACCTTTGATGTCAAAAAAGACACTTTGGATTTGCTCATTCTTCCCTTTTTTGGGCAAGGAGACGCCGTCGTGTGCCACTCGGAAGATTGCCTCTTTGTCTCGGGATCATACTCAAAGATCCACGACTTGTCACCTGTGATTACGTTATTAAAAAATTGGGGGTCACTTTCACACATGCTCAAATTTTCTTGGCACACTTCCACTCGCCGCAATTTCTAGTCTTCCGAAGTACAGTCATGGCGGAAGAAAATGAGCCCTAGCACTTTTCGGACAAACCCTGTATGTTATATTATCCTACAAGTAGCTCGGAGTAGCTCAAAAAAAGCTATGGCTACAACGGCATTATCTCTCTGATGCATAGTCTTCTCCGCCATAAAACCTAGAACGCAAAAGTTCTTGCAAAAACCACTTCTTTCTTTACAATGTAAGCCCGTTGAAATATACTCTTTTGCTATTTTGTGCAAAATTAATTGCTCAACTTTTTATGCAGCACAAGGAACAACGTCTAGACAAGCCTAAGAGGCATGCATTGTCCTCGGTCTCCAAGTTACATACCTAAATGTAGCTGTGTGTATGCAAATGAAATGTTCAGCACGAAAATTAAAGAAGGCATTCACGTGCCCGCGGCTTTGAATACATTTACAAAATGGTCAGGCTTAAGTGGAGTAGGGAATTAGTGTGAAGGCTCCTCTGCTGATTATCGTCTGGGTATAATGATGAAGTGTCCCTTAGGGCTTAGCTTTCAGCTAACTCTAGGCGTAATAGTGCAATTGAACAACAATGAAACAAATGGAACCAACGCATAATAATCACTGAATATAAAGTAAACATGTCCATATTGTTCGGATCCTGACATGACAAAAAAAGCCTTTACAAAAAAGCGTGACTGGGAATGCCTTCAACATTTTATCAGCGTATATTTCCATGATAGCAAATATGTTTACAAGTTTTTATCAAATTTCAATATTTGATTCAGGGGGTTGCATTTTATATATAATTTACTATATAATATAATGAGCAATGATTGGGTTCTTCACTAATATAACAGTAGACATTTGACATCCATTTCACCTCCAGTGGTCACCATGATCTTGACATTCAATTACTATTTGAATGTAAAATTTTCCGCTGTTTAGATTGCCGGCATCAAAAATAGAAGTTCTCATTAAGACAATGAAGTTGACGTTAAATGACCTTGGAGGCGAGGTTCAAAGTCAAATCCAAGGTAACTCGACAAAATTTACCAAAGAACTGACATTGACAGTTATTTTCACCATTAATCCCTAAGATTCGTATTTGTTGCCTTAGCAGTATACATTTGACCTCCATTTGACCTTTTGTGGTCATCATGACCTTGGTCGTCAATTCGTACTTGAATGTAACGTTTTCCGCTCTTTTGATTGTTGACATAAAAAATAGCGATTTTCATTTAAAAGATGAAGTTGACATTGAATAACCTGGAAGGTAAGGAAAAAGGTTATATCCAAGATCATCGTTCATGCCTTCGTTAAAATTTAGAAAAACGCGGTCTTGATGGTTGTTTTCTCCACTAATTATTTGAGATATAGAGAGGTTTTCCTAGCACCACACGTTTATATGGCCCTGACCTTGGACTACATTTTCAGCTCTTCCTATTGTCACCATCAAAGATTCCCACCAAATAAATTAAGTTGACTTTAAAATGGTAAAGGTGAAGGTCAAGGCCGAATCCAAGGTTAACGTTCACTTCTTCGTCTATTCACCAAAAACCTGAACGTGATAGCTATTTTCATCACTCATCTTGTGAGATTTACCATATAGAGGTTTTCCTAGCATTTGATCTTCATGTGATCTTTAGTAGTCACCCTTAACTTGGACCTTGATTATGTTTGAACGTAGAATTTTCTCTCTTTCCGATTGCCTGCAACTAAAATAGGGATTTCTATTTGAAACATAAAGTTGACCATGAATTAACCTTGAATGTTAAGGTGAAGGTCAAATTCGAGGTCACCATTGAAGCTACTGAGGGCCCGATGCATCCTAATTATTCTAATATATTCGGGAACGTAACTTTCCTAAATCTGACGTTTGATGTATCTATAGATGGAGAACATCTGATCTAGTACAGTTAATTAGCTTTCTGATTCTAATCATGAAATAGAGAAGTTGCCATTATTTTTGATATCAGACCGCCCATGTGGCAAACATATCAGGTAAGTATTTTCTAACAATAAAGCAAACAGTAGACAGGGTAGTCACCCTTAAGCAGAGCCCTCTTGACATCAGCAAGTTGCATGATACAAATGCACAGAACATTTAATCGCGATAGCAAACTTTCTGATTTGTTGGCTGAGAAAGAGGATCTTTGGGAATCGCCATGAAGTACAGGATAAATTAGCCTCGTTGCATTGTCGATTCTGGAAGTTTTAAACTTTCGGCGAAGTCGTGAATACTAGTTCTTTCATCCGGAAGCTATTAACGCTGCTTTAAAAGTGGTTCATTATTTTGAAGGCTTTACTCATGAGGATTTTTGTGAGCTGTGGGAATAGGGAATATGCATGTGATTCAAATATCAGTTATTTATTTTTTATTGCTACAGAAAGTCACCTTCAACCTTACTTTGTACTGCGCCATGAAACTATGAGTAGTACTTTATTAGGAAGGGAAAAAATACTCGTCAAATTTGAAATACGGAAGCGCAGCGCTATTGACGTGACGTCGCGATGTCTGCTGGTGCGCAGCCAATTCCTTGTCGATGTCATTGATTATCAATCTATCAGTTCGATCAGTCTCAACTAACTCAAGCCGTAGGACAAATTTGGTTCTCAGTGTATAGTAAATAGAGAAGCAGCTATAACATATTCTCATAGATGACGTTAGGGAATCTCATGTTATCTCGACTATATTAGTAGCGATTTCCATATAATGTTCAACTGGACATTTGCTTTTAGCCAAGAATATGCTCGGATTACTATCGAGATAAAGCTAGTAGAATTTATTTCTATTTATTAACAATTACTGACGATTCTCATCTCAACACAGTATTTCTGCCCTTACACCTAGCACGATTGGCTACTTGAGCATTCTCTCCAATGAAAAAATCTACGCCGATATATTGGCTTGTCATCTTGGTAGGCAATGGTAGGTAAATCAGCCAAGAGTATGAACTAAAATCATTCCATTTTGGTGACAAAGTATTACAATGTAAGCATATAGGCTTGACTGATAACACTGGACAACAAATTTTAGTTTTCTAATTGTATCTTGTGGGAAAAGTGCACTTCTTTGATAATTTTGGGGCGCTGAATCCAAAAATGACAACGAAATAAAAAAATTAGTTGCGGTTTAGAAAAAAAACTTTTTATTTTTAAGGATATATTAAAAAAAGTAACAAGATTTATATACTTATAAGAATCACTATATGCGCTGTCTTTTTGCTGTTCTTTTATGGATCGTTTCTGGAGCATCTCTACCAAAAGTCCAACAGTAGTCTGCAAACATGGAAGGATTCCACTTTCCCTGGTACCTTTTTTCCAATGTTGAAATATCCCGATGAAAACGTTCGCCGTGCTCATCACTTACGGCTCCGCAATTGTCAGGAAAACAGTGCAGGTGTGAGTGTAGGAAATGTATCTTAAGAGACATATTACAGCCCATCTTTTGATACGATGAC